CATGCCTTGCACCAGGCCCCAAAGTTGGAAGGCCACCGCGGCCGGAGCTGAGTTCATTGACCTCTGAAATAACCCATCTTGGTACATGCAGCAAAGCAGAGAGTGACTCAGGAAACAGGTGTTACATTGCAGGTAACAGCCCCACGGTACTTACTATTCATGCTAACAGTTTTACAAACAAGTGAGTTTCTTATACATTCATCGCCACCCCCAGGCATTCATATTCTTTTTAAGTACAGAAACCTTAATTAGATTTTGACCACAGACCCGGATTTGACTTACCCTGACAGGGTTTCCATTAGTGTAATCTGTGGGGGAATTCACTGTTTTAACATCTGTGTGCCTGAGGCCTATCTCACATTTACTGCAAAACTCTGAAAAGCCTCCCTTGTATGGCTGTGTGTTTCCTCATGCTCCCAATTTCACAGAAGTCATTTCAGCACCAAACGGTAATTAGCAAAGGGATGGGCCTCAGCTGACATGAATGCAATTTATTGTTTTCCACGAGGCCCTGAACCAAGCAAACAAAGAACACAGTCTAGCTGTCTGGCATTTTATTAACTTGTATTGTGCGGCGCACCTTCCTGAAGGGAGATCTTCAGGAGAAATTCAGCAGTTTGTGTGCAGCAACACACAGACTTTAGAAGAATATTAATTTCAGTTCAATTAGGCAAGTTTTGTGGTACCTCCGCCTGTAATATAGGACAGCCACTTTTATAATTATCTTCCATATTAACTTTATCATCACCAGACTTTTGCATAAATGCAACCTTTCATCTTTAAAATGCCAACACTTCTTCAATTTTGGCAACCGTACAGCACTGCTAATTATTTGCTCATTATGTGTGGTTAACTGATGAATCATTAATAAATGAATGAATGGCTAATATATTTTTATGGTAATTGGAGATATAACTGATTGCAGACTTCCTTAGCTTCTCAAAACGGCACTGAATAAGCAGTGGCTGCCTAATTGTTTACAGATGATATGCGTGCCCCCACCCAGTGTTTCCCACAGTTGTGGTTTATCACTGGCATATTCTCATCAGTCCAGGGTGGCGGCTTGCCGAGGGACCAGTCTGGGCAGAGGGGAGTGGGCAGCAGCATGACCACGCTTCCTTTCTTGTGTTTCTGTCACCTCATTTGTTTCAGCTCAGCTGACACGTAACCATGTATGGGCCTCAGAGACATTTGCTCGCAATTCGAAGACTCCTCGCAGACTCCACTTGCCGAGGCACTGGCAGGGCCCCAGCGCTAAGACTGCTGTGATCACCCCTGGTCAAAAACATAGAGAGAATCAGACGCTGCCACACAAATGTGCACAGCACCAGACTGCCACTTGTCTTGCCTGGCCCGGCACAAAGGAAGAGTGGCCAGTGGCCACCCAACCTGGTGTCTCTGTAGTGGAGGAGCTAACGGACACCCTTCACTGAGTTCGGTCAGAAGCCTGGAGTTCAATTTGCACCACTGACAGAGTCCAGCAAATAAAACCAATCCTAGATCCTTAACTCCACTCACTGACTCACCACTCCACGGCTGGTTAATGGGTTTGGAGACAACCGCTGCCTTACATCGATCGTGCTGCAAATCAGTCACCACCTACAGTTTAAAAACAAAGAGTCTGTATTTGTTGACAATTCCCCTGAAAATGAAAGATAGAATACTGGCCAAATAAGGCTTGTTTAGCTTCGTACAAACAGACGGAAGATCAAGTTAAAAATGCAAAGGAGATTACCAATCCTTAATTATAATTATTTAACCAGGTGGGTAGTTTCTCCTAATGAACATTTCCATGAAAACAGAATAACTAATGACAGTCTTAAAGAAGCCTTTGTCTTTCCATGTACTAATGATCACATTTATAAATATGTAGCAAGGCCCCCGTGTACATCGCTAATGATAAGTAATTAAGCACCAGGCGTGGGAAGCTAGTGAAAAGGGTCATGTTAATGCAAGAGAGGAAATTAAAAATGCAATAAAATAAGTTGCCTAGAAAAGATTAAATAAACTTCTGGCTTCTTCTCCTTCCAGAAGGAAAAGAACAGTTCCCCCACTTTCACAGTACAGCTATGTCGAGCCATCCAGCAGCTGGTCACAGAGTCAGACCGTGTGAGTGATCAGCTTGCTCTCTGCCCCCCGTCTCCACTTTATCCTACTGGTTTGCATGCAGAGAGAGAGTGGCTTCAAAGGGCAGTTTGGGTCACTGGAAAGAAGACGGGCCCTGGAAAAAGGAAGCAGTCAGTCAACAAGGATGGATACCTGTCATTGCCAAATTAAAATGGACTTTGTTATTGCTGATGTACCACTTGTTTAATAAACCATGTTGACAACTTGGATTTTCTTCTCATCTTCTAGATGAAAAAGAGAGGACAAGCTGGGTATCTCTTCCACTACAGTGGAATAACCTCTGTCTCTCTTCACAGTGCCTGTTTGCCCACCAGACCACAAGCTCCTGGAAGGTGAGACCGTGACTCTGTGTTACTAGACATTATAGCCTCATCCCTAGCACTGTACCGTGTATAGTCGGTGCTTCGTACATGCTGATTTAATAAGTGAGTGAATAAATGAATGAATATTCAAACAGATGATCTCGAAACAAAGCAGCAGTTTATCAAAGAGTGCTTTCATGTCACTCCCAACCCGAGCAGCCTCACCACACAAACACTTGGGCCTGGTCAAAAGACATGAGGCATTTCTCTCTCTCATTCTGGTCCTGAGAAGGGCACCAATTCTACCACGTACTGTCACCAACAGGAGCAATGGGCTGTAAGATTCCTGTGTGGGGAATGAACAGGAATCCCAGCATTTCTATTAAGCATTAAAGACACATAGAATGGATAAGAGGCTTCTTGGCAAAAGGAAAGGGACTTGTATTTGGAACTCCAAAGCTCTTAAATAAGGGCAATTTTGATTCTTTTTTTTAAAGTGTCTTAGTGAAGCTCTTAAACCACTGAAGATTTTTTTTCTTTCGAACAATTCAAACTCGTCCATCTCAAGTCTCTCAAGACCTCACATTCCCTAACTCTGCTAGCCAGTTAATCCCTTTGTGAGGGGAATCTAATTTTCTGCAGCTGAAGTCGAGGGTTAACAAGAAGGCGACCTTGATCTGAAGAAAAAAGCGGCAACAAACGAAAATTAAACCTTGGTTAGCTATTTTGGGTAGTTTTTCCTTTTTTCTTTCCTTTTTTTATCACCTCTATTTTCTTAAACAAGTTCTTAGAAACAAGTCATAAGGCAGAAAATCCAGGTCTTGGATCTTTTTGCCTTGTTTTAAAACTCCTTCTGCATTCAAATGAATCGTTTCCTTTTATATAAAATCTTCAACCAGACCACACTTCTTTTGTTATCAGAGTGTTGTCATCAGCAAACAGGCTCGACTCTCATAAAGGCAATTTAGTACCTGACAGCGGAGCACTGTGTGGGGGGCTTCAATTTGCCTTACAAATAGGGCTCCCTAGGGAATCTCCAGGTGGCCCGAACGGGGGACATCTAAGGTGTGCTCCTCTCAACTTCTCAGGCAGGCCTTCGGTTTCGCAGGGTGTGCTGATTTTTCCTCCAGGGGAAGTTCTGGCCGCAGCAGGGGCGCTCTGCAAGCTTATCCTGACCCCCAGTGGCCAGCACTGTCATCGGACTCACACCAGATCCCACTCTTCCACCGCCCCAAGGTTTCCGAGGTCCCAGGGACCCAGGTACCCTTAGCTTTAATTGACAATTAAAACAAACTTCGGTTCTCACAAGAATCAACTGAGTGAAATTTCGCAACTGCCAGTTTCTCAATTCAATTCCCTTGAAGCAAAACCAACAGTTTCCCTGAGGTTTCACTCCACACCTCCCCATTTGTTGTCGAACTTCCCCCTCAAGTTTCTCTTCCCACACACAATTTTATTTTAGAGTCAGCCACGGAAACAGTTTAGTGTTTCTGGGGGGTCCCCGCCTCGCGCCTGCCCTGGTGCTGAGTCAGCGCTTCCGCGGAGCCTGGATGGGCCTGCAGCGCAGGTTCATGAACAGAGCTGCAGCGTAGGCCCAGCGCTGGGACTCGTGGATGCTGCTGACCCGCCTGCCCCGTCAGAATGTTTCCTATCGTGAGCCACCGAAATCAACCTGAAAGCTTCATAGAATGGAGTCAGCAAACACATCTGACCCTGGGGTAGGGTTCTGGAGTTAAGCAGGCAAAATCACATGAGTATTCATACCAAAAAATCTTTGTTGTTTATCAGAAGTTCAAATTTAACTCTAAGGTTCTCTCTTTTATCTGGCGAAGAAAGGAAAAGCTCTGTTGTGTGATTTTACAGATCAGCTTCTGACCAGACCCTCAGATAATCCAGGGGGGCCTGGATTGCCCACTAAGCATTGGGTGAGGATTTTTTTTTCAACAGTAGGAAAATAGCACATGATTTCTGGTGACTTCTCCAGAGGCTCAGACCTCCCGGGGCACTAGCCCATTTCTCAGACTTTCATTCCTGTTCCTCTTCTTCTCCCTCCCTCTCTCTGGCACAGAGCGGAGCAGGCCTGTATCCTGAGGTCCCTTTCCTACAGTCAGCCTGCCTGCCACCATGTCCTTGCTCACACAACAAGGTAATTATTTTTAGGCCATAATAGATCATTACACTGCTGCTGGCTCTTTAAGAGATAGAAATGCTTCCATTCTGAACTGTTGGTATCCACTGAAATGTTAAAAAAAAAAAAAGGTCAGAAAAGCAAGTTTTGCATTACTGTTATCTTCCAGTTTAAAAAAAAAAGGCTATAGCCTTGGGAATAGTGTACATATCTGTTACCGACAATTCTGAAAACCACCTCTGCAAGCTTGTCAGTTAAATGAAATGTTAAATGGAAAATATTTGGCGGGATTTAAAATTAGACCCGCACACATTACTTACAGATGTTTCCATGAAAAACACTTGAAACTGAACCACACCAAGTAATAAACCCCACAATGGTGTATTTTTTATACCCCAAGTTAATTTTTATTATATAAGTAGCCATATGAAGAAGGGATTGCATACTGCTTAAATTAAATACGGAGGAATGAAATCAGCAGTATCCCTTTACAGCATATGGCCCAGCAAATCAAATTACAAAGCTTTCCACATCTCATTAACTGCAATGAGTACAGTGAGTTTTCTAATAAGTCACATCTTTTTCATGTGAGTGGTGAGCAGTGACTTATTGTAAGAATTCACAGGATGACCCTTGTGCTGAAATTAAGAACTAATCTAAAACGGACAGGGTCATCTGGTCAAGACTGATCATAACATTTCCTCATTATTGTTTTAGTTGGCATTGAAGCATATGTTTTCCTGGTGCCCCAGCTGAAAAATGCCTTTGATAATTTCACTGACAGCAAATAACCCACACACTGTTATTTAATGAGTTCGGGCAGGATTAGCTGACAATAAAGAATATAGTATAAATGTTTTTATTAGAACTGATTTATTTTTTAGCTACAAAAAAAAAGAAGAGGAAGAAGTCACATGGAAATGCTGAGCTGACTTCTCCCCTCGCGCCAGCCCTGCCAGGTGGAAGCGGGAGGTGCCGAGCCCAGGGCTGCCTGTGCCAGTGTCTCTGGGCTGCGAACGAACGGTGAAAGGCAAGCGGCAGCTGGAACCCACACTCAGACTTCGGGTTCCTCCTTTGCACACAAAGAAAAAAATACTTCTTCAATTGCTCATCATGTGGCCTTTGGTTGAGATGAATTACCAATTTACAACCTCTTGTGTTTGGAGAGAAGCAAACTGTGCTCTTTTGAGGCAAGAATCAGGAACCTAACATCATTCAAGCCTTCTTGTTTATAAGGCCAGAGTGAGGCCAAAAATCCATTTCCCTCTGTGCTCCAAGCCCTTTCAATGACGAGTTTCTCACCATCTGCACTAATAAATATGGACTGGTGTGTGTACAACCATACACGGAGGAGAAGAGAAGAGTGAAAGGATTTTAAATGGTTGCAAATTGCTCTCCTGCTGAGATAACAGCAGTTTGCATATGAGCCTCAGTTGTTACACATTAAGAATGGGCATTTGGCTTCTTTTCACACAGCTGTGAGAAAAGGGGAGGGTTTCTGAACAACTAGAGAGAAAACGGGCCTGTTGTTCTTAGGGAGACAGGCTTGCTAGTGGCATCCTGCCCAGAAGCTCTTTCTTCACAGTTCCAGCCATGGAGACCCCAGGAGGCTCAGCAGACCAGCCCCCAGTGCACTGAGACGGGGGAGTTGAGCCCCAGGACAGGGGCCAGAGCCCCAAGGCTCAGCAGAGGCGAAGAAGGATCCAAACTGGAAGCAAGGCCTGAAAGTTGATGGAAGTTATCCTCGAGGTAGGGATGACTTGTCTGGGAGGATCTGGAGGCTTAAGACTGACCTGAAGGCACAAGTGATCTTAGGGGAATCTGCCCTGGGAAGACTTTAAACACCAGCAGTAAGAAGGTAGGTGAGCAGGGCCCAGCAGTGAGTGCAGTGTAGGAAAAGCACCCAGGGTTGACTGACACTCAGGGGTCTCCTCCCAGACAGAAAGAAGTGCCTCCTTGTTCTCAGAATGATGTGATATGTAACTGTGGGAGCTTCCGAGAGATTACCCAGGAATGCTGGAAGGGTCACGAGAGCCAGAGAGCAGCCAGGCAGAGGACTGCCCTGTACATCAGCAAGTGCATTTCAGTAAATGCTAAGGACCATGAGAAGACCCTCCATTCCCAACACTTGCTCCACACAAGGCAGCCTGCCCAGGATGGGGAGGTAGAACCCACATCACTACCTCCCTCTCAGCTGATGAAAATGTGAGAGGCGAGAGCCTTGGGAAGCCAGGACGACTCTGAAGCATCAAGCCCAAGCAGGAAATGGAGAGCAGGGACTGGAACGGAAGCAAAGGGTCAGCTTCTGAGTCCAGCAGACAACGGGAGCAGGTTTGGGAGACGGAGACCAGAGAGATCACTGGGGAGAGGCGACTCCCCTGTGGCTGAGGTCAGGGGAGGAGAAGGAGCCAAGCCTTCAGGAATGGCCAAGACCAAATGCTGGGGTGGGGGTGGGGAAAGAGGTTAAATACAATCTCTGGTATAAAATGCAATCCCTCTCACCCAATCCCTGGTGAAAAGAAACTAGTAGTTACCACCAAAGCAACTGCTCAGGAAAGTTGTACATGGTTCCTCCGTAGCGTTATTTCAGGCCATCACACTGAAGCCTGCATTAGAACCTTTATCATCTGATTTCACCCTTCAGTTGCAACTGAACCTGCCGAGCCTTCATTCCACAGATCCTGGCTACTTAACTGGAACCTAGACAAGGGCAATCCCTGAGTATTGCTAGGTAACAATAACAAACTAATATTTGCACAACTTTACAGTTTATAAAGTGTTGTCGTAACGTTTCCCATTTGCCCTTTATAACTATGCTGTGAAGAAGGCAACTTAGCCGTAGCTAGGAAGTAAAAGAGCCAGATCTCAGACCTAAATCTTCAGACTCCAAGCCTGCTGTAATAAAAACTACACCAGGCTATTCCGCTAACACTAAAATGCTCTGGAAGTCTGAGGAAATCTCCATGTTCTACTCTCCAGAGAATGTATTCAAGGCTTGAGGCAAAGTTCTCCAGAAAAGACCATCCTCTCCTAACGCCCCTCAGAATATGTCTCTCTCCTAAGTGTGTGGAATGGGCCTTTGACTTCATTCCACGCCCCCTCCTTGTCCTGGTAAGACACAACAGCCTTGCCAAGATGACATTCTTAAGACAGACTTCCAGGGTCCCTCCTTGGTAGTCACTCATTGCCAGTGCTTGGAATCAGAGCCAACTGGAATCAGTTACTTTTGTGGCAAAAGGAGAACATGAGAAAAAAAATCATTTAGATTTGAAGGACAGATAAGTAACACAATAAATGACAAATAAATCGTAAAATAACCCATGATAAACAAGCCAGCACAGCATCGAGGGCAGCTACAGGCAGGGTACCAGTCCCCACGGAACTGGAGCTGCTGGTGGTGCCCTCCGTACATTCCGCTGCCCGCCCTCTTCATCTTTCCCTCTTTTTGCATCTCCACCATAGGGGATGCTCAGGATACAGTCACTGTCTGAAAGGAAATAAGAACTCCTTCTTCCTGCTTCCTTGCCCCCCAACTCCAGCAGGTAGACAAGGGCCCATTTTAAAGAGAGTTTTTGAAGAAACAAAGGCTCTGAGTGCAAATGGTTGATAAGCAGATCATAGAAACTCCGCTCCGTGTAGGAGGCTTTGGAGGCCTCGTCCAATCCCCTGCCACGGCTTCCTGAACTCAGTGCTGGACACTCCCCGTGCGGTCCGCAGCAGCAAGTCCCAGAAGCCCAACACGCACTGACGCAGATGTTGACATCAGGTGTGAGCCCTGTGTGAGTGAATAAGAAAAGCTTTAAACCTAGAAAAACATGCCTTTCCCAAGCCTCCCAAGTGCTTCCCTGGGGCTCCACAGCCCTTTTTAGTTCCAGCCAGGGGCAGTCCCTCCGTTCCCTTCACCTTACCGACCAGCTCCAGCCCAGGTGCATCCCCAAGGGCGGGGGCATCTGCCCTGTGCTCTCTGTGTGGCTATCCTGTCTTCCTTTGGAGTTCCCCTCACAGAGTCCAGGAAGACTTCGTGGTGCTGTTTTCCCAAACCCTCGGCTCACCAAAGCCCCTAACGTGTATGTTAAGTATGGAAAAATACAGCAATGGTTTACAAGTTAAGATTCATAGAATCTTGAGGTGTGGAAGGGACACTTGAACCACAGAATTTACCAGTTTTCAAATTTCTCTAGTTTATTAACAACTTCCAGTCTGTGAAATGGGGGTTCTGAGCCTTCATTTCTAATGTGCCGAAGCCTATAGCTCGCTGAAGTTCCCACAGGAAGAGTGTCCAAAAAGCTGGGCCAGAGCTACAGCTTCCTCTCTGCTCACGGCCACACTAGTCACTCCATCACATCAAGAGGTACCTACAAGCAGGAGCCAACTTGCTGGCTTCCACTCCTCTGCTAATATGCCCACCAACTTGACACCAAGGAGCAATTCCTATCTTTTAGATCCTTAAATACTTAACAGTGTCTGCTGCTGAATTGTGTCTCCTTAAATGCAAACACTGTTATCTGTCTCTGTACCCACCCACCACTGACTGCCACCCCTTCCTTTGAGGTTTTGCATATGGAAGAAGTCTGATAAATGCTTTTAAATGAGCAAATGAAGAAAGGACTTCCCATTTTTTATTATCTCAGTGAATGTGGCTCACCAGTGGACTGGAACTGGGCTGCCTCACCCCAGGCTAAGTGCACCCCCAGGTGTGTTCTCCTGGGGTCTGGGCTTCACCATTGACTAACTGTCTCGCTCAGCAGTTATGGGACTTTGCTGCACCTCCACTTTTTCATCTGGAAAATAAGGATAAAATAGTACTTTCTCATAGGGCTGCTATGAAGGTTAAGAGAGAATCCATAAAAAAGCCCTGAGAACAGTGCCTAGCAGGACAAAGCAAAATGCCTAGTAAATATTAGCTATTGTTATTTTATACTTCATCTATTATTTTATATTTCATCTAGCATAATCCTCACACACATCACTGTGATTCTTGTTTAATTTGTTGACTTTCCAAAATGACTAAGCTCATGTCTGTATTGGTCTTGCCTCCAGCATGACGGTCCGGCAGGCGGTACCTGATCAGTAAATGTCTGAATACATCCATGTGGGTGGGAACACCCCATGGCAGACACAAATTTCCACAACCTTTGGACACTATAAAAGATGGTTTTGACTTGTGTTTCTTTGTCATTTAAGAAGCAGTGGAGGACACCATGGCAAAGTGGCTGTGAGCGCAGACAGCAAAGCCAGAAAGACTGGATTTGAATCCTGACTCCATCACTAACAAGAGTGTGACCTTACATCACTTAACCGCTTTGCCTCTGTTTCCTCACCTGTAAAGTGGGAATGATAATAATGGTACCTACCTCAGAGGGCTTTTATGAAGATGAAGTGAGTTAATGTTTGAAAAGTCCTTAGCACTATGTAAATGTTAGCTGCTACCTTCATCATCAGCACCATCATCATCATCACTTGTGAGGGAGGACATGACACAAAGAAGACCTGAAAGTGAGAACAGATATGTGTCACTGTTCCTGTAGGGAAATATTTTGCTGCAAAGGCAGAGAATCCATGGGATGGCTGCAAGGCAGTGCTCTGATAAACGTGATCCTGTGCCATGATAATTTAGCTGTCGTTAATATACTGTCAGTATATTTCAGGTTCACACAGTCAAGGCCACACTTGAGGGTAGGGGGTTATGGGACGAGAATCTTCAGAAGAGTGGCTGATTTACAAAATGCCAACGCTGCCTCGCCCACCAGCTCCCTGCATTCCAATTAGGTGGAAACACATCTGCAACCCAGCACCACCCCTCACCTCCTGCTGCATCTGGGACCACTAGTCCCTCCTCGCCAGCCTTTGCTGATGTGGATTTTCTCCTCCTGCTCCCCCTGCTCAGGGACCTTTCAGAGCCCCAGCATGGTGGTTCCTGCCTTTGCTGCTATGTCTCCAAAGCTGTGGGCCTGCGCAGAAGCCCCACGACTGCAGCCACTCCTTCATTGCTCTCTACTGCTGGACTGCGGCTCACCAGGGATGTCCAAGAGGACAGCAGCCAGGCCTCTCCCAGGTTTCCCACGCACCTCCAGAAGGAAGTGGGAACAGCAGGGCCTTGGAGTGAGGTGGGCAGCAGGACTCAGCTCTGGGAAGACATGGGGTACTCTGTAGCTCAGGAAACTTCAGGAAAAGGAATCTTCGGTCTCAGAGCAACTAAAGAGCAGGAATGGAATTGGAACACGGAGTGCACGGAGCACTGCAAGCTCCATTTCACCACAATGGCTCCCCGCACCCCGCAGCCCACAGCAGTGAGGTGATTTGAAGCTCACCACACTTGGCCACAGATTGATTTTTAAATTATTCATCATTAGCCATCTCACCACTATCTACCTACCTCAAGATTAGATGCTGTCAGTATCTTACAATTCTCTTATAAGGGGCTGAAATCAAAATCTCTTCATGAATAGAGTTTATCTCACCAGTTGTGAATATGCACTGTGGTTTGTTACTGTAGAGTTCTTTGTTCTAGTATTTGCTTACCCTACCTACCCAGTTTATTACCTACATCAGTTTTTATACTGCACATTCCATGTTAGGGCGGGGGAGGAAAATCGCAACAGAACCTAGCCTGGTTCTATTCCAATCAATACCTTCTCTGTTAACGTCTATTGCATACATGACCTTTTGTCCTTGCGTGCAAGGACAATTGCATATTTGACCTTAATGTTTAATCCCAACCCCTCCTTACACACACAAACTAAAATGCGTCTCTGAACATATATCAGGAATAGGTCAAATTTACTCAAGACTCATGGCTCTGACATAATACTATTATTAAACACTGGTGTGTCTATTTAAGTCATGTTAACAAGATGTTAATAAATGAATATCATTTCCTTGGGGTAGCCAAACTATTGCATCATGATTGCGACATGAATGCAGACACAGGCGTGTGACTGCCAATGGAAGGTAAAGAACATAAAATCAGGGAGGGTCTCGGAAAGGACCCAGTGAAGGTCCGTTAGGTTTCTCACTCAACAGAGCGACATGAAAAGCCTCACTTCTTACTCATCTAGTCACGTGCTCATTGCCTGATGCTGGTGGGCAGATTTCATCCAATCACATGTTTCTAACATGTTTTCAAAGAGATGCTGTCCCTCTTTAAATTGTCCAGGCAATAATAAGAAAGCTGAAATCAAAATTCCTCAGGGCCTCCCCATGAGTGTGATCCCCCCATCTGGAGAGAAAGGAAAGGGAGTGTGGAGGCCTGTGCGCTAGAAGCTGCTGGGTTTGGGGCACAGCTCCTCTGGAACACAAGACAGGCACAAATCTCTTGAAACTGGTTGGAGTCCAAGGTAAGCCGATTCACAAACACTCAGCCAACAGCAAAATGTTTTGAAAAGCACTTAAGCTGAATGGGTTGAGGTGTTAACTCAGGAGAAGCTTCCATTAGTGTGGAGAGGGACTGTGTAAGAACAGAGCAATGCCACTGGGCCGGATAGGGAACACCATCGGGAAGAGCCATGCTTCACACGGTGAACACGCACAAGGAGGCCTCCTGTGCACAAAGGGAGGCCACGTGGAGAATGATGAGGATGTGCCCAAGGGAGGGCCGGTCAGTCCCGGGATGGTCTTCAGGTCACTGATGCCTCTCGGCTTGACTCAGGCGTCTTGATTCCCTTCTCTCCCCAGGCCTACTACAGACCAGACCTTCTAGGACCAACCTCTGTATTTCTCACTCTTCCAGCACCTGTGGCTATCAGCTCAGGACCTCGCCAAGGCATTCTGGAGTGTGCGGACTGGGGTGTGCCTACTGCTCTCATGAGTTTTCATGTTATAGTCCCTCAGAATCTCTGACACAAGGCAGGCCACAGAAACATCATCAGGCCCAGGAAGTCCTCCTGTAAGAACGATGATTTTCGTTCACCATGACTATTCGTTCAATGATTAGTCTTTTCTATACTGTTGCTTCCTATCAAGTAAAGCATTGCCTTTAAAAGGATTTCAGTCTCCAAACTTCCTGTAGTTTCCTCAGACCATAAATGCTAATGCTCTACCACCCATGCCATTTGGCAGCCACTCTAGTTCAGGGGCTATGCACCCAAGGAGAAAACCGGTTCATTCTAACGCATGCCTTCCTGGAGGCCCTTCCATGGCGCAAGACACTGGGGGGCTGAGTCATCAGCCAGTTAAGTGCCTTCCTGCCCCATACTGTTGAGTCATCTGAACAGTATTCAGAACCGTTGCCTTTGGCTCAGCAACATTTCAGTACTTTGAAATTTATCCCCATTGGGAATATCCAGTCTCCTAGCCTGAGATTTATAACATTCTTTGAAACAGATAATATATTTTTTAAATTAAAAAATAAAACAAGATAATTATTTATCTACAGAATGGGCAGACCTCTGCCAGGCCAGGTGGAGATAATGAGCACCAGGGCTTGATTTTCCTAATTACCCACGGCTTTCGGATGGGGGTGGTTGAAAGGACACTTTATTCCTCTCCCTGTAGACGTGATTGCTCTGTTGCAGCTAATCAAACTCTAATTCATTAGAAACCAGGACAAGAAACAGAAGAGAAAAATAAATAATCGCTTCCACCAGCCCTGAAAACCCTATGGGAATCTCTGATTAAATTTGGCACCTGGGCCCTGCTAGGATGTGCGCTCCACGAGAGCAGAGGCCTGTGTGGCTGCCCTACCACTGTACCTCCGGCACCTGGATGAGTGTCTGGTGCATTGTGGTCGCTTTAATAAGAATTTGCTGAATGAAGCAATGGATGGATGAATGGATGGATGGGTGGATGAACGAACAAACAAATGATCAAAAAACCAGGCCAGAGTCATTTAGAGCAGCAGAGGGGCTAATGTCATAGTGGACAGAAGGTGCAATTGAAATCAAATGCCTTAGGTTGAGTCCCAAGCCTTCCAACTAAACAAACTAGAGTAAATTACCTTACTCCTCTAAGCTATTTCCCTACTGTATAATGGGAGTAACAAAAATATATATCCCACATGGTTATTTTGCTGATTAAATTATAAAGTTTGTGTGAAAGCATTTCATAAAGTGCCACTTGCCCCACACTCAAAATCCGAAAGTTACCCTGTCTCCCAGGCTCTGCCCGTCGCACCGCCGCCGCCTTAACTGCAGTCGTCGTGGCTTGTCACCAGATAGCTCCCTTCCTAATGGGCTCCCTGCCTTGTGCCTGGCTCCTTTATAGCTCCCTGCTGCCAATAAGCTTCATGGGTAAGTGATCCTGCAGTTGCACAGGGCCCCACATTTCAGGTTTAATGCTCTGTGGTTGCCATCTTGAAATTCTTAGTAATTTAGTGTTTTGGAAGTGAAGCCCATGGGACAACAGACCATGCACTGGGGACTCAGGGCTTTGGCTCCTATGTGCCACTCCTTTCACCACCTCCTGGTTCCTGGGATAGGTCATCAACCACCCACTCACCTGTACCCTGGCACCCAGGCCCTGCACGGCCTCCCTCCTCCCTCAGCCCTCCCAGTGACCACTGCCGGCTCCACCCCAGCAGGGGCCTGGGCACAGGTGTGGGGAGCATCGGGGTTGAGTGAGCATGCCTCACAGTGTCCAGGGGTGGGCATGGCAGTGGCTATCTCCACCCTAGGCTAATAGTGCCACAGTGTATTTGGCAGATGACTTGGTGCCCACACCAGACCCAGATACCTAACATAGATGTTGCAATACCCTTGTGAGTCACCCATCTGCCAAGGGTTGGGGTACCAGGTCTCTAGTTAGGTAAGTGCCTGGCTATACTTTCCCATCTCTAGCTGGGGCACAGCCCATTGGTCCAACAGCTAATGGGCCACGTGTGTGGCTCATTCTCAAGTCTCAGGGTAGGGCCCCAGCTCCAGCGAGGGTCTACCTGGGAGAAGGGACTTGAAACAGCAAATTTAAAAAAACACTGTGGCAAGTTAAGAGACTACAGAACAAAGGGAAAAGCTCTATATTTTAGTACATTTAACAGCATTTTTTCTTGGTTTTTAAAGAGGGGGCCCCATTCTTCATTCTGCACTGGGTCCTAGCTCCTAATAGGACCCTTCTAAAGCATGACCCTGATCACGTCATCTACCCGTGAAACTCCTTCAATGCTTCCCCGTGACTTGGAGCATCAAGTTCAGGCTTTCTGGCTAGACCCCTCCAGGCCCTTCCTCATCTGGCACATGCTCACCTCCTTAGCCTCATCTCCTTCCACTTACTTACCCTCACCCTTCTCCTTGGCCATCTTGATATGTTAGCAGCTTCCTAAATGTGGCTTGCTGTTTTATGTCACATATTCTTCCCTCTGTTGCCATTCTCTTACCCCCACTCTTATTTGACTACATCCACTCAAGCCTCACTTCCTTCCATAGCCTTCTCTGACCACCCCCGTTCCCACTGTGCTCCCACAGCACACACACCCCTGCCAGGAGATCCGTGCCGTGACCCTCATCACTCTGTCCTGTAAGCACTGACGTTCCTCCTTGGCCTCTCCAGCAGACTTATGC